AGAAAGCTTTGAGCAAGGTAGGCCCGAGGCTTATCTACCTACAGAACTATGAATCTTTTCCTGACAGAGTAACTAAGATGACTTGAAAAAAAAAATCAGATGCTATTTAAACCCAAAGTTACATTATTATTCATAGGCTAGACTCTACTTTGAACAAGTCTTAGAAGTCTACTTTGGTTCTTTATTTTAGAGTATTCGTTTTATAATTAGAAAACACCTGGTCACTGCTGAAAGGAAGGGCAGTGGCTTGTGCAGCCTGCTGAAAACTTGGCCAGTGCTAGAAGGCCTAAACCACAGAGATTTGGATATATAAAGCTAAAAAACTTCCATCGAATTCAGGCTGAAATAAGTCTAAATGATGACTACAGAGAGAAATGCCAAAGGAATTCCAACTCTAAGGACAATGAACTAAACCTAAGAAGGTTGTTAGTATGACAAATGCAGCAACTTCTTCAAGGTCCATTTTCTTCCAATTGCCAAAAAAGATTCAGTAAAGAGGCAGAAAAGGGGATTGCTCCAGGCCAAGCAGGCCCTGTCCCAACTAAGGACAATATTTCCTAGCTCTTCTGTGATAGAGGGACCAGTGGCCATGACAGCAGGAAAGCTGCAAAACTGTGCTTAGACAGTGAAGTGCCATTTTCCTGTTGGTTATATACAGTCTTCTCCACCCTCAGAAGCTCTGTGGTTTGGCCACACGGTGAAATACAAACAAACCAAGTTTGGCCTTGGAGAGCCATCCAAGTCTTCCTCTTCCAGAATGAATTCCCTCATGTTCTAATATTTCTGCCTAGGAAACAGTCCTCACCTACTGGATTAGAAGGACCGTGGGAGACTCAGAGAGGGACTTACAAATGGCACAAGCCCACAGCACAAGAAAATGCTTCCTATCCTCTTTGCCTCAAGCCATAAAGAAGGTGACATACAATTCAGGAACTATATTTCTATCTGAGGACTCTCCCACATGTTGGCTTTACCGAGAGTAATGAAAATGTACAAGACATTGCTTGCTTTAATTAGACATTGCTAAGGGTTAGCAAACTGACATCTTAAAGAGCAGTGCACTTCAGAAATGCTATGGTCTGGCAATAAAATAAAGACTCTGAAAACTAGTGATTAAGTTTGGATTGCTAACAAGGAATCCCTAACTCCTCCCTGTAAAAACCACCATGTGAGGTGGGGACAAACCCAAAATACTCACAGACCCTATACATGGGCCACAACTATGGTCAATTTTGCAATAAGACTATCTCCAATCAAGATACTATCAAGGCTTTCCCTCAAAATTAATATTTAGTGTGTTTACATGAAGAACAATATCCCTTATCACATGGAGAGAAATCCCAAGGCTCTGGGCACTGAGGTAGGGGTGAGGGACAAGGTGGGGGTGCAGTACCTTCAGAAAAAAAGGAGGAGACCTCCCTGTACCGTGAAGTGGGCAACAGACTTGGAGCAGCTGCGAAAAGAACCGTCTTCAATCTCTTCCCATTAGATACTGTAGGGAAGACGTTATCATGAAAGAAAACATGGTGGGCAATGGCAGACTCTCAGAATCTAGTCAAATCCCCCGCTGTTTCCTCCCACAGGGTACACTCGGGACCTGCTGTGGGCACCGATGACAGACAGCAACCTGCCAGCAGCCTCCGACGAGGCCGTTTGCAACTCACTCCCTAAACATAGGCAGCTTCATGCTAGGGCAGTCTGGGGTCCTGGCTCACAAAAGAACCTTCCAAGTTGTTTTTAAAGATAAAGTATTCCAAAGTGCCCTCTCTTCAGTGATCTATTCGCTATCTCCCCGTCTCTGGAGACAGCGTAGTGAGTAACACATCAGGAACAGCAGGGGCAGAGGTGCTGGTGCTGAGTATTCCCATACTACTCCGTGCCTCAGAAATACTGTCGCAAGGTACCATTGCACGTAATTAGATACTATAAGTAAAATACACGTAAACATTCTATATACACAGACATACAGAGTGGGAAAACACATTCAAGCTAGTCAGGGACGTTTATTTTTCATAGGTGACATGGTCTTGGTACCTTTCTCCCTCTGCTAATTCTAAATATATAGGCAGAGAACAAACACGCTGATCATTTGGATTCTAGGAAGAAAGATGACTTGCTTGTGGAATGCTTAGATCCAGTAAGAAGCTGCAGAACTGAATCAGGTGCCTGGACTGTGTGCTAACTACTCTGTTTCATGGTCTGAAACATAAATGTCATCAGATAAACAAGATAGAGGGTCAGAGTGAGTTTTTCAAACTTCACACAAAGTAAGCAACTTTGAGAGGGGTTATTCTTCTCTGGGAACTAGCCAATGAGGACAATTATCTAGGTGAAAGAAGTAAACATTAATAAATAATCCTGTAAATGAATGCTGCTATATCATAACAATATACCACTAGAAACTACCATTTTTTTTTTTTAGCAGTTTTTCTTCCTTCCTAATTCACTAGAACCATGCTATTCATGCAGAGCAGCTGATTCTTTGGTTGTAGTACCTTCAACTAATTCACCAAGTAGAATGACATACATTTTCTACGGGAGGGAAAAGAATGTCCAAAGTGATTCTCTTCGTTCTAAAGTTGTGCTGTTTGTGGAGACGATAGCTTTCGAGATTCCAGAGTGTCAAGGTTTAGAAATCAGAAAGTTCTAAGTCACAGTGGGCTGAACGTCTACACCCTTCTCTCCCTCTGTTTATCACCCTGAAGTTCGAAGGGACTGTCATGGGAACAAGTGCCTGGCTGTAGGTTAATGGAACTCTTCTGAGTAGATAAAAATGAGGTAAAAAAACAATGAAGTATTCATTTTCAGGAGAAAGTTCAGGAGGAACAGAGTGAAGTGATTAACAAAGAGACTAGGACAAGAACGAACTAAGAAGCTTTGCACATGCCATCAGCAGGCCCCTATTTTCCAACCCAGCTCACTCAGACTAACCCTCTCAGATTGACTTAAAAAAAAAAAATCAACATCTGGACAAGTGCAGCTACTTTTTCCTCCCTTCATTTTTGTTGACTTAAGGAAAGAACAAAAGGGGTTCCATTTTCAACATTGTTTTGTTAGAAAGACAGACTCCCCCATGGTCTGATAAACAGGAGATAACCCCATGTTCATGTATAAATAAATATATATATGTATACATATATTAAAGAAGAACCTTCTCCTGCATGAAAAGGTGTCAATGACAGCGATAATTCTGGATTCCTAGTCTAGACCCCGTGGGAGTGAGGTAATGACTTCTTGCAGACAAACACATGCCTATCATTGCAAGCTCCTTCAGGGCCGATTACTGCCACCACTCTTCAGAAAACAACATGGCAGCAACCTGCCCTCCACCTTCGACGGCCAAGTGACTCCACTTCCTCTCTCCCTTGTGTGACTGAAATGGAATCCCCACACTTCAAGCCAACTATTAGCTTCTCTGCGTCCTGCAGTCCTGTGATCTTCACGCCCCTTTTCCTTGCTTCCAGCAGGTCAGAGCTGGGCGCTCCGTGTCAGCAGAGCTGCTTCGCATGGCAGCGTCTGCACCCCCAGCACTGTCACCCTGACCCGAGCATCTGGGAGCTCGATCCCCCCTCTGTGACTGGGCGAGACTTCACAGACAAAGGCTTGTAGCAACTCTGGCTAGAATCTACTAAACTACAAAGTTTGTCCAGTTAAGTGTTTCACAATGGATTCAGTTTTTTAACCTTAAAAAAAAAAAGTATAACAGCTGATCTGAGAATACATAAAACAACTGAGCAGAGTGCAAACAAGAGAAAATCAGAGGAGGGAGACATAATCCGTCCTGAAATCGTGATGCCCTCCCCCTCACAAAAAAAGGTGCATTAGTTATTGAATTGCAAAAATTGTCAAAGCAAAGAAATCTAGAGCAAAGACAATCTGCACAGAAACTAACGAAAATACACAATAGAAAAGATACTAATGCACCATTTAGTCACAGACTTTTTTTTTTTTTTAAATATATTCACGGATTACCAGAAAGATCTTGAAAAACCCTATTTAGCTCCATGACCAGCACTTCCTGGCCACGGATGGTTTCTAAGTAACTTTTTGCTTAATGCCTGGCGTTTCAGGTCGGTGATCCTTCCTCTCGGACACGTTGCGCTTGACCTTGGCAGTGATGGGAGATGAATCTGGGTTCAGCGAGGGACTTGAATGCGACTTCTTCAGCCCCGCAGCCTCGGTTTCCTCGTTACTCAGGAGCTCCTTGCCTCCTTCCTTCAGGATGCTCACGTAGATTTCATAACGGGTTTTCTGAAGGCAAAGTCAGAGAAGACGGCAATCAGTACACCATCTACAAACTGCTGTCACACGGTGAGGTGTGAGCGACCTGGCTGCTGAAGACTCAACTCTGTTCAGGTAAGAAGTAACACAGAATTTTCTCAATAGTCCCCATTTACTCTGGGTTCTGAAGGAATGCCAACTTGGGAGTTATGAGCAAAGAAGAAGCACACATCCTGAACACTCACTCAGACACAGAAGGGTCTAAGCTGGAGGAGCTGCAGCCTCTGGTTTCAGAGACTGGATGGCTCCGTGGCTCCGTACTATGGTCACTTGAGCCTTTCCCGTGACCTTGGCCTCCCTTGAACCTGGCTGGCATATGGCTGCAGAGTCTCCCTCCTACTCCCTGTAACTCCACAGACTCGACTTGAGGGACCACCACGTGATCAATCTCCTGTCCAGTCTGCTATAGCACACCACTTTCTAGCAGGGCTCTGAGATGCCCCTTGTTGCTCTTCTGCTGGGATTATCCACTTCTCAGGCTACTGGGAACAGGCGCTACTATGAACAGCATGGTTTTCATTCAATAAAACTTCCATCATCAGCTATTCATTGAGTACCTTCTACAGTTCAACAATTCCCTGATCTGCAGTCTCTTATGTCCAGATAAGTTTTCTAAGAATAATTGAGAAGAACATAGCAGAGATTTTTTTCTCAAGCCCTAACTGATCATCTGATCATTTCTATTTATATATATATATATGTGTGTGTGTATATATATATGTATATATGTATGTAAGTATATATATATTTTTTTCTTTTTTTAAGCTTCCATCTAGGTCACTATATAGTACTATTGTATATGTGGAGACTTCAAAAAGTTTGTGGAAAGTATGAAGTGATTTTGGTGTAAAAAAAATGAAATCCATGCATGGTGTTTTCATAATACACATTTTCCATAAATTTTTGAAGATCCTTCACATATAATGCAAATTACAGAAAAGTCTCAGATTCTTGATCTGATACATTCTAGTCAAAAGTAGCCTCTACCCTGCTGCCTCAGCTCATGAAGACTTACTGAAGGCCCAAAGTCTAAAGAACATGGATTTTGCTGTCTGATTTGTTATGTCTAAACAAAAGAACATGTCAGGTATAAGCTGTCCAAACAAAGGCACGCAAATTCCATTACGACTATGAATCTTCTAGTGACGTTTCAAGTCAGATTGGGGTTGTGTACATGTCAGTCTTACATGTGTAATTGTCAAGTGCTACCTTTTCAAGTTGTTTGCCAGTGATTAAGTTTGCTCTGGGTTTGGTGGTGACCCCAGTGGGGTTGCTAGGCTGTGGTGGCCGGCCGTATACTAATCATATACAATTGGTGACATGATTATCCCTGTTTTACAGTTACAGAGACAAAGGCAGAGAGTATTCCAAGTCAGAGAAGTAACAGATAAGGCTGAAGGTGAGCCCAGGCATTTGGATTGCAAAACCCAAGTTCTAAAACTACCTCTCCTCCCTAGATATAAATAGAAATACGTATGGAAAGGAAAGTACAGCTTAGTATGATTACTCCAACAGACACTTGGTTGGTCAATCAAAAGCCACTCTCAAACTCCCTCTTCTGTGTCCCTCCCACTACAAGGCAGATGGAAGCCAACATCCTTATTTCTGCAGTTGCTCTTGCCGCTAGGATGGGCCACCGAGATATGAGAAGAAGTCAGTTGGGGACTTCTGGGAAAGACATTTTGCTTCCTGATAAAAGGGACAGGCTTGGTAGCTGGCAGAGGGCACTGGTTAAGGGTGTGGAATTCCCATGTGGCCGACTATGGTTCAAGTCTTGGACTGGTGGCTTGCTTTCTTGCTTTCCCTTTCTGTCTTTCTCTAGCCAAATTAAAAAATGATAGCAAATGGGATAAATAAATAACTCTCCAAAAAAAGGGGGCAATCTTTAGAGGAGAAGTCACTAGTGCCAGCCTCTTAGTCTCATCCCTTCCTTAAGATGGACGTACTTCTAAAGCTTTCACCCTGCGACATGGGCCATTGGCACAAGGAATAAAGGACAGTGTGGTAGGCCTGAGGAAAAACGGAAAGAGAAAGAGCCTGGGTTCTTGGCAAAACAGTAAGATGAAGACAGGAAAATGATCTCCTACTCCAAAATTCCTACATATGAATAATGCATATCCTCATAGGTTAAACCACTGTTTACCAGTGCTGTTATTTGCATGCTAAGCATTATCACAGAAAGCCATATGAGGGTTTAATAAGGGCATATGCTAATTAAAAAATGTTCTCAGCATCATATATATGCATCGTGAAAATTCAAGGACTGAATTAGAGCATGTCCTAAGGATATACTGGTTGTAATGTCTCATTCAGTCTAGAAATGTATTATTTAATATGTGTCTAAATTGCCTTGGTGACAAGATTAAAACGCAGAAAAGAACTACTCCCAGTGGGAATAAGGTTTAGTAAAATGATCTAAGGGCAATTTAAAAATAGATTTAGGAAGCCAGGGTTGGCTATACTATTTCCCAAAGCTGGAGCATGCATGCAATAAGAGGGGTATGAAAGACCATTTTTGAGATGACTTGAAAGACAACAAAAGGAGAAAAGGTGACAAAGCCAACTTTCTACTAGTCTTTGAAGAAACTGACACTACTGGGAACATTCACCTGAAAAACACATGAAGGAAAACCATCTGACCCACTCATTCTACAGTGCCGATAGCAAAGCAGCTGTCTCAAATAAGTTACATCAGTGTGTCAATCAACAAACAGAAGGCAGAACACAGAGGACTGAGTGCAAGAACTCTCAGATCAGAAGAAAGACACAGCGGAGAAGAGGGGCAGGGGGACTAGAAAACAAGGGCTGCCCTGTGGTTGTGAAGAGAAAGAACCTTATGTAGCTTTAGGAACTTCCAGATGGCCCTATTACGTTTCTGGGTTAAAAAGTCTTCCGGAGTGTGAGCCATACACCCCAGCGAAGTAGCTTCACTTTTTACCATTCTCCCAAGTCTAGCTCTTACTGAAGCCAACTGAATATTCCTCCTCGAAATATTGTAAGAAAACATAACTTTTTTTTTTTAGAGGTTTTTGCCATAGGGTGTGTGCACTCGCCAGACAGACAGAGACAGAGAGACAGAAAGCGAGAAAGCAAGAAATCACCCCCAGGGGGGATGGCCACGCCCCAATCTCCTCTCGGGATCTTGGGCATGCACGCACATGCGCCTGGCGTGAGTTTTAAGCCACCGGGTCCAGAAACGACCCGCGGTCAACTATGTGGGTGTCCAGCGACATAGCCATTACGTTAACTGCTGGTCCCAAGAAAACACAACTTTAGCCTCAGAACTATTCTGTGGGGATCTGTCAGCCTCATCTTTCTAGGATTACAGAACTCATCCAAATATGCAAATCCTAAGTGCAGAAAACTCTAAATGAAGCCCCCAAAGAACAACAGAATGAACACAACTTTGAAAGTCCTCTCTTTGGGGCTAGCAGGTGGTATTGTGGTTAAGGTGCTGGGTTCCCACATCTCTAACTGTGGTTTGAGTCCCGGACCCAGCAGCCTGAAAATCAGAAATAAAGTTTTTTGTTTTTTTTTTTAAAGTCCTGTCTTCATGGGTTTCTTCTTTTCTTCCCTTTTGTGGGGGAGTAGGAAGGTTATGCTTGCTTCTAACTGGGCAGCCCCATCTTCAGGAGAGTCTAATTCTGCTCCTCCTTTCAGAGAAGTAATGAGTCTCATCTCTTTTCTTTTCTTTCCCGATTGTGAAATTTAAATTCTAAGTTGAAGCTAAGGAAAAGCAGCAGGAGCAGGGGTTTCTGTAAGTCACTTTTTGAAAGTCTGACATATAGGCTCAGAGGCTGAAAACTTGCTGATCAATGTTCCAATGGTCAACCTCGACCAAAGAAGCTCGTAAATATTAGGAGGCAGACGCCGTTGGCTGTGTCCCTAGAGGCTTCTTCCTTCCCGCTAATGGGACAGTGATTTACTGAGGATGATGATGTGCCCAGCCCCACGGGAGGAATCACGGCTTAAATCAGACACGAGAACCCTTGTCCCCCTTTGCTTGTCCTTGCAGCCATGTGGCCTGGATACAGCCGCTGAAATGTCAGTAGACGTCTACGAGGGCCTTTTGTTGAAGTGGCTTTTTTGTCTGATCAAATGTGGAGGACAAAACATTTGGAGCTCTGGGAGCCACTGTGAGATGTTTTTAGATGTTATCTTTGGAATGCAAGCGTTTCTACTCTATACTGTAAATAAAGTTATATGTATAAGTATTGATTTAGAGGCATGTAAGATTAGTCTTATAGGAAAATATTACTCTTCCATAGTTTCCATTCGCTCATAATACAGTTTCAAAAACAAGAAAAGAAGCTGATGTGCCGATATGGCAGGGGGGGAAAACAGAAAGATCATACGTCCTTGATGGCAAAACTTAGCAGCCAAAACCATCTGCCTGCAGTCTTCTTTCATGAGATAAAGTATATTTATGCTGTTTAGACATTTAATCAAGTTTTTATTTAAAAATATTTCATTGTATTTATTTATTCATTTTTTAAAAAATTTGAGACAGGGAAAGGAAGGGAGGGAGGGAGGGAGGGAAAATGTGAAAGCAAGTCACCGGGTCTGGACTCAAACCATGGTGGGCCAAGTGAGCCATGTCCAGCATCTTAACCACCACACCACCTGCTGGTCCCATTTAATCAAGTTTTCTACTATTTGCAGCAAAATGCATTCTTAATAAATGAGATGGTCAATACTCACCTTGGTCTCAAACTTAAAAAAAAAAAATCTCAGTGAGTTGTGCATGTACCTCCTGTTTTAATTTTATCAAGAAAAAATGTTACTTGATTAGTAAGCATTGGTGTGATACAGCTTTCTGTGAATATTTGATAAATTATTGATGGCCATTACTCCACTATTGGCTGAACAGTGGTGACATAATGAACATTAACTCAATGGCTATTGTATTATTTCCACTGGTCGTTTTTTATCTTGTGCTTATTCTGTGTGGGTACAGAAACACATTCTTT